GCCACTGGCTGGAAACTGGCACTTTTGCCGTTGAATCACGTGGAAATTAGAGACTGGACCTGGTGCGATAAAGGCGATTGACTTACTGAAGTATTGAAACACTTTGCAGTAATATGTTTAACTCGGGATTTTAATATAAGGTGCATCAAAGGAGATGTAGGGATCAAAAAGTGATTTTCGAAAATTTTGTCACGTAGGCGGTTGAATCACACGACTAGCGAAATAGCAGGTGAAAAACTGATTTCTTTCTCTTGCTAGAAACTAAATAAACAAAAGTTTTGAAATCCATTTTAAAAAAAAGAAACCACGCCTGAAGGGACGTATAGCATAAAGACTAATTACTAGAACATAGGCCAGACAGGACTCAAAAACACTGAACAGCTGGTTCAAATTCAATTTTTTAAGCTCATGAACGATCAGGCTACAGAAAATCGAGTGGGGAAAGCATCTACATGTCTCTGTTATATAACAACGGATAGATAACCCAAATATCGTTCCAAATATTAGCCACAGTGAGACTCAAAGGTCAAATCTCCCACCGGGAAAAAACATGCACCCTCTCATGCATAGCATTCCATTATTGGATCATACTTTCCGGGGTCAAAAGAGTCAGGAAATTTTTATAAATAGCCATGAGTAAGATATTGCCCTCCTTAAATGGAAGATAACCTATCGTTATAATCATAAAAGGCAGCAAAAATAAATTTGTACGAAACATTACAATAACTTTTATGAAGCCTTTTTCGTGCTGGCTGGGGTGTTTCACGTGCGTCGCCATATTGAAACAAGGGGCAAAACTCTGTAAAACTGATACGTTGGTTTCAAAGCAGATACAGTACTATTGTTTAGTACTGAAAACTTTTGTTCCCAAATTGCACTGCTCTTACAGTGATTGTGTATGTATGTGAGTGTATGTATGTGAGTGTTTGTGTATGAGTATGTGTGTGTTTGTGTGTGTTTGTGTGTGTGTGTGTGTTGGTGTGTGTGGGCCTGTGTGTGCATGTGTGTGTGCGTGTACATGTGTGTGTGTTTGTGTGTGTGTGTGTGTATGTGTGTGTGTGT